GGTGGACTGGCCTGATGTTGCGCGTTGCAGTGACAGCCGTCCGTGGCGTGTCCTTGAAACCCTGCACACCCGCTATCTGGGGTCTATGCCGGTGTAATATTTTTGTTTTCGTGCCGGTCCCAAGCAGCTGGAGGCTTTAGGAATATATAGTTAGCGACGTTACCACTTTGGAATTCAAGGAGTTGCGCAAAAAGATATCGCCGAAACTGTTTGGGGTCCATGGCGGCATAATTGCTTGCAATTATTCCAAGAAATTTCCGGACGTTGTTTGTACTTCAGTGGGGCCTCAGTCAGTTACTGGTGGGGCATAGCCGGCTCGAACCAGATATAGAGGATGGTTTGGGAAGGGCATCGGCATGTGGTGCTTTTGGATCCTTGGGCTTTGGGTTTTGGATGTTTTGGAGGTGGAAACATAGAGGTGAAAAAATTGGCCTTCTTTGCAATTCGCAATTTAAAACGGTGGAACATGTGTTAGCCCAGCCATCCCCTGTCGTCATGGCTCAAAACTTCCAAGTTTGCAAGGACTCCAGGTTTTTCAATTTTTTTAGCATGCAAGGACTTGGATCACTTGTGTTCCAAACTACAGACAGCTACTGTACAGATAATCGACACTGCTTTCCGAACAGTGAAAACATGTTCTCCCGCCCAAGAGTCATTGCTTTCATGGGCACAGCAAAGAATTTGGTTTGTCAAGACAAGGGTTCGGTGTTCCTATCGATGGTGGGAAAACAAACTGGGACCTTCACCTTCCCACGACGCGGTGTAACTTGAGTTCTGTAGGACGCAGGGCTGTAGCGGGTCTATAGGTGGCAGGACTCTGGGCTTGTAGGTTTTAGAATCAGATACCGTTCTTATTCAATAATTATACTTGGACACCAGACACATGACAGTTTACGTTGGTGGCGTGACAGTTTACGTTTGGTTTGGATGCAACCCGTTGAGCTGAGCTGAGAAACCTTTGACCCTCACCCGCTCAACATTTATCGAAGTCGATATCCGCTCAGCGTGGCCCTCCAGGCTATCCCACACAAATGGTAGGTACAGGGAGGGTTCCGTTCCATTCTCTTGCGGCACCTACGATGCGGAGCAAGCATCATTACATCCTTTCACGACACATCACTCGACCTCATCAACCCATCCTCTTCCTTTTTTTTGACTATATATATCCTTTTGCCGCCTGACAGGTCATACCTGGTATCAGTTGAAGACCTCTCTGGAGGCCTGCTCTTTTCGGGCCTGCTTGTTCCCGTCGCGGGGGAACAACTCTCCAGAGGGCCAGTCATGGCCGCCAAAGTGCCTGGCTTGATGGTTGTGAATCGGCACTTTCTACTGCAAACCTGGAACGCACGCACCAACGTAAGTTAACTCACTTGAGGGCTTGCGATGGCTTGCCCATTTCGCTGTTGAGCAGTAAGTTTCAGGTCAAGATTTGGGGTTTCTGCGGAGAGCTTCGCCCTGTGGAGAGCCTTTTATATTCATGTTTCTTGTTTCGAGCCTCTTGTGAAAGTCATATTACTTGATCCTCATCAGCAGAAAAGCGGGACTGTTTGAGGAGAGAACAGATCTGCGCAATCTTGAACCTCGCAAGGTCGGTTGAGATCGGCTTCCAAAGGCCGTGCCTGGCAGCAAAGCCGTCTCTAGATCATGGCAAACGGCCAAGTCTTAGTGTTTAAATCACACCCATATGGCCCATATGCCCCTTGAAGCTACCTCTCCAAACCCTGTTCCATGTTGGTCTCTTCCGCCCCATCGACCTCGTGCACTCCCAGTTCTCCGGAGCAGCGCGCGCGCCTTTGCGCTGGAGCAGCGAGCGACGGTTGTCCTCCTTGCGGGAGGAACTCCATGTCCCCTGGAAGAAGCGAGTGCAGCGAGTGGGTTCTTTCGATGTTCAAGAAAGACCCGTCACTTTCAGTGGGCACATCCAATCTTGGAGTGTCTTAGAGTGTGCTCTTAGTGCTCTTGTAGATTCCATGGTTTCTGCTTGATCGTTTTTTTGGGCGATGAAGCCAGTCGTTCCTTCTCCTCCCCGGTGGTCCCGCCGTGTCTGAGGATCGTGTGAAGGAGGTCCTGGGGCAGAACTACACTGCTCACTTCCTGAAGACGCCATTTGCACTGAAAGGCACCGTCATCCATGGGGAGGAGTGTGGGGTTTGGTTTCGGGGGGGATGTCTGTGGTCTTCGAAGTTCTGAACAGAACCCCAGTTCGGATTGGTGCCATCCCATGGGGAGCTTCACGGTCAGAAAACCCACAGAAACCCTTTGAAAGCGGTCCGCAGGGTCCAAGTGTGGGGCCGAGGCGGCTTGCCGGGCACCACCTCCAGATTGAATGCTTGGCCACGTGGCGAGTGGGAAGACGAGCGAGAAGAGGAGGGGGAAGAGGAGAGAGCATGAGGAAGGAAGGACCCCCCCTGTAGTCTGAACTAGGGTTTTGGCTGTCTCTCAAGCCACCAGAACGAGAAGGATCTTCTTTTTTGGAACCACAGCTGGGCTGCACCTGGAGTGGTTTACCAGCAGGCTTTAAGGTCCAAGTCTGAGGGCGGCGCTGAGGTTCGGATCCTTGGGGAAGGTGGTGAACAAGGGCGAAGCTCCGCCCTCGCTGGTGGCGCTGCTGCTGCAGTTTCTGGAGGTGGAATGCCAAACACATGGGTGGGTCGCGGCGGGACTAGCAACTTCGGCTGGGTATCATTAGGGGCAGCAAGATCATGAGATATGGCTAAACACTCCTTGTGTGAGCAAACGAGCAAGCTTGAAGCCCTTGTGGTACAAAGGACAATGAGTGGGGAAAAGTTGAAATCAGCAGCCTTAACCAAAGAGCTCGAATTTGCGAAAAAGGAGCAGGTCTTAGTCAAACAGCATGATCTTCACATCTCTTTCCAACATCCCGATACCGCACTGTCACTTCGAAAGACGTGCAACGTTCCACCGTCGACCCACAGGCGCCACATCCACCGGAGGAGATCCCGGAAGCGGACCATGAGGACGAGGAGCAGGTTGGATCCCTTTGATTTTGGTGAGGATGGGATGACGTGCCAACCTGGAACGTTTGCAGCTTGATCCACATGGAACAAGTGGGGCTTGGGGGGCAGGCCATTTGTCAGTAGGGCATAGTAGGGCCATGTAGGGCCTGTGACTGCTGGTGCTTCCGCAGTGCCAATGGCGAAGCTAGGCACAGCTGGTATGTGACCCTCTGCATGGATCTTAGGTTTCCATTTTGTGATCAACGTCGGGGGGTTCACAGAGGTCCATTGGAACTCCCGATAGCCTGAGTCACTTGGGTCCAGGCTTACTTGGTGACACCGCTGTGGTTCATCGCGCCGTGTTGCGGTCCGCAGCCGAAAAAACCAGCACTCGCCCGGGGCCCCCTTTGCTTGGTTGAAGACTTGACCAAGCAAAGGGGGTGCTTCGATCCAAGGGGGGGGGTGCTTGGTTTAAGAGATGGTCTAAGAGACTTGACCAAAGACCCCCTTTGGTCCCGGAAACGGCCACGGCCTCCACGGAGCGGGAGGCCGATGGACCGGCGAGCGAGCCTCCGGTCCTCGCCGCTCCGGCGGAGCAGGCCGAGGTCATCGGTTCAGTGGGGGCGAATCGGGGAAGCAAGGGAAGCATGTGAAAAGGATAGTTTGGTGAAGCAAGTCAAGCACACGTTGGGTCCATCTCCGCGTGGAACGCGTTCCGCTGCGCCCCAGGCTCAGCTTCCCTCGGCCCACCAAGAAGTCTTTATGTTTGGCGGACACAAAGGCCAAAGAACATACTTCCAGAGGTGGTGGTGGGTAACGGGTAGGGACGTCTTTAACTAGTGGGAGATACCCCAAGTCTACAACCCATAGGTCATAGGTATGTGGTACCAAACTGACCCCTCTAAGAATTCCCAAACGGACAGCATTGGGAGACGGCTGTCCAACAAGTGCTTCTTGTGCTTCTTGATGCTCAGCCTCCAAGTGTTCATGCATTTCTTTGGTCTCCTTCGGGGGTCTGCGAGTTTGTGCACTAGCATGGAAGACGGGCAGACATCCTCCCCGAAAGCTGGTGCGCCGATGCAGTATTAGCTTGACAAGCATAGCCATCAGTCACGGGATGGCGGCAGCAATCAAAAACCAAAGTTTCCTTGCCTCCAGTCACAAGGCATTCCAAAAAAGCTTTTTCTTTCGTGGGTTTGTTGCAGCCTTGTGGTTCAGGGTAATCACCCCGAATCAGCCACAACATCTGCGTTGGTCGAGTCTTTGTCGCAGCACCCTGTGCCGCAGCAGGTTCCTCAGGGTGCGAAGCCAACAGAGGAGTCCGAATTAGAAGAAATTGAACTCAGCCTCAGCGAATAGTTTCGCAGGAAAACAGATGTGCGAGGTGCTTTGGACATGCTGTGACCAGGTTTCGGATGAAGGACCTGGACTGATACAGCCAGTCTTGGGTGTCATAGTAGGAGGATCTGGAGGCGAACCATCCAGTTTGGGGATTGCAGTCATCAGCAAACTCTTATATATTCGTATTATGACATAATGTTATGAATTATATATGACTCCTATTATATACATCATTTGCGCTGATGCAAAACTTCTTCGAGATCCTTCAGTTGTACAGTGTCACATGAGGAGACTTGAACCACTTTGGGTCTGCAATCAGCAGAATCTCATTTGTTGGACGAACGTGTGAAGTTTAGAAGCGAAATACCGAGGAATTGTACACGCTGTGACGCTGCAAAAACAAACAAACAAACAAACAAACAGACAAACAAACAAACAAACAGACAAACAAACAACCAACCAAACAAACAAAAAAAACAAAAAGCAACCAAGCAAACAAACAAACAAACACAGCCACAGCTTGGCACTCATTTCCATCAAATCATCACACATGTATCAGAGCTGGATATGCGCCCGATCTTGTCTTGCGCCCCATGCCCATTTTAAGACGTACTCGAAAGAAGCCGCGGGCAATACCCCAACTCAGCACAACGAACAGCACCTATTGATCCACGCTTGTTTTCGCCGCGCGGCGGCTGCGCCATGAGCCCAAAAGCTTTGTCACGTCTGCCGGAGTTGCTGCCTAGCAAGCTGTCGCCGGCACAGAAGAAGCTTTATGTGCCTTGGTCATGGACAAGCTGGTCGTGTTCATGTGTAGGTTACATACATCGACAACTAAAAAGGGGGAATTGAAAGAACGACTCCGAATTCTGGGTTTGGCCAAACTGGGAACTCAGAGTATACACAGGTTCCCAGACAGAAAAAAGCTATGAACAAAAACTAACAATAATCTAAAGAGAAACCATATGGTTTTCAACAAACTTGTCCGCAAGACCTGCGCTTCGTGCGTGTTTCCTGCGCTTCCATGCATGGTGTTTTTGGTGCACGAGGATCAGATTGCAGCGGGTGCCAAAGACTCCTCGGGCAGGCGAACGCTCGGTGGGACGGGAGGCAGGACTTGTTGATGAGTTGACGGTAACCTGTGGGATTTCGGATTCGATCTGCACAAAACCACTGCTTTCACCGCTTCAGAGGTTCTTAATTCCTTCAAGTGGTTCGTTTGACAGGACCCTGCTCAGAGGGCCTTCACCAGGTGGTGGTCGTTTCACTGCACCTGGGCCTCCGGGTTCATGGGCCCAGGCCGCTGAAGACGCGCGTGAACGAAGAGACCAGAGGGCTCTTGGGGCCCTTCAACGCCTTCTTGCGCCGCTTCCAGTTCAATTGGTCGAACGTGCGGGCGACATGCGGGCTCCCATGCAGTTCAGACAGGTGGACACCTTGAATTTGTGGCACCTTTAGCGAGTGCTGTAATGGTTTCAGAGAAGAAAGAACACACTCTCACAGGAGAAGTCTACAAAACTTTTATCCCGACCCCAACTCCAGAGAACATCTCTGTGAAAGAGACTAGTCGATCATCTCATCTCCAGTTCCCAATCACTTCGTGGTCTCTCCGACCCCCAGCCTCAGGCTCCCCTCAGTTGGGTGCAGATGTGGCGCTTCTGGCGGAGCACCTACGCTTCGGAGAGTTGGAGTGCAGCCAGCGCCTCCTGGAGATGCTTGGCGATGTGTTCGCCCAACGTCGAAGCCGTGAGAGATGAAGGGCGTGCGGCTTGGTTGTGTCGATGCAGCGTAGGTGCGGAATGTGGATGCGACGTGATAGGACATGGGACATGAGGTGGAATTTCGTGGGAATGTCCTTTAACATGGTTGACGTGTGCCGCGTGCGCCGTCAACTGCCTCGTTTCATGATGGCGGCCCGCATGACGTTTTCCGAGCCAAAGACCTGCGGCCCCAAGATGACCAGGCTTAGCAAACAGAACCTCAACACCCCCCCCTAGGATTTGCTCAATGAGTAGGTAGGACACCTACAGAAGTGAAGCACTTGACTAGCAAGAAAAGTCGCCATGAATTTCTCCGCGGTTGCGCCAGACACTCAAGAGCTTTGAGGCGGAGCAGTCACTGCCAACCCACCCTGTGACCACCCAGCTGTCCCCGCAGCTGTCCCCGCCCGTCTGGGCGAGCTGTCCGAGTGCGCCATGGCGAAGTCAGCCATGTCGACGACGCCCTCGGTTCTGGCAGCCATGTCCTACGGGGCCATTGTTGATGTGAAGGACAAGAACAGCCTTTATGCCATTTGGATGCAATGTGTGTGGAGACTTTCTTTTGCTCTGTAGACTGTAGTTTGTCCAGTGGTGTGTCAAGCCATCAAACCCAAACACAAAATGACTTGGTTCTGGCGGCCTTATTCGTGGCACGCGGTAGCTGTGTTTGCTCACCACACAGAGCAATAGTGATCCGACGTCCTGTTCCTTCCACAGCTGGAGCGGAACACCTGCACAGACCGTGAGCGCAAACTACCCTTCCACACCTGTGCATCTAGCAGTGCTCTGCATCCAGCGCCCAAGGTCAGCAATCTGAGTGTCAATGCGCCTTGGCGTTCTCGGACCGTTCGGGGGAGAAGGTGATGAGCTGCGGCAGCTCGCTGCGGCCGAGCGATGATGAGAAGAAGTGAGATGGTCGACCCTGACGCGATGAAGTGGGCACATCTTTCATGATGCCAAAGGCACCCGAACGACGGCCAGCGCTCCAAGAGCGTAAACAGGCTAAGGAGTTTGAACAAGAGACACTATCACTGATCACTGTACCAGCCTAAAGCCTAGACATTTCATGACATTTCTATGACGTCATATGGATGCAACATGATGCAACACCTTCTTCCAACACCTCAGTTCACGGAGAATAACTATGACCAATTTGGAGCTTGGCCGGTGGAAATTCTCCTCCATTCTCCATTTATGTCCATTGATTGATACATTTATTTAAGTATATTTTTAAATAAATATAGGAGCAGAGACCGACCCTTTTTTTACACCCCCTAAAAGAGACACTCGGGACGAAAGACCGGACTGACTCTCGGGCCGAGGTCACTGAGAACTCGCTGCGGGAGGTCTTCCGCGCCTGCGGCCAGCTGAATGAGGTGATTTTCCGTTCCGTGGAGAACAACGCGCCGCGCGGGGGGATTTCGCGTGGTGTTCAGAAGCGGGGGACGGAGGTCCGGTGGACGGAAAGGGAACAGAGGTCCGGTGATGTTGGGTTTGTGTGTTTCGGTGGAGGATTGCTGTGTTTGATAGATGCAGCTGTGAAGGGGTTTTCAGACTGGTTTTGTTCGACGTCGAGTGCCTGCGGGGCTTGTGAAAGGGAGTTGGACGTTTGGATAATGGGGCGACCGAGACAGTGAGGGGTTATCTATCCCCAGCTTGAGATGACGGAAGGTGTGCTGTTGGGTCAAAGAGGCTTTGGTTTAAGGCTTAAGGGATTGGAAGGCTTTGTGGACAGATGTTTCTATCTTCAGAAAAGTTGCTTGACTCCACAACTTCAACGGGTTCTCACTTTTTAGTCTTGCTACTTTCCGACGAGGTATCTCCCTCAAGGGTAGGATGTGGGGATGTCTTTGATGATGAGGGGAGTGAATCATGGATGTCAGTGGTGTGCACCATGAGCTACGTCGTATTACCTTTTAACATCCTTTTTTTTGCAGATGTTTTTTTTCCTTTTTTTTTTCGATTGGGATTGGGGCAGGGTTCTGTTGAAGAGCGCTCTGAATTTATGACATGCCAATGCCAAGTCTGCTTTTCACTTGCTGTACCTGTGTCTCAACATGAAACGTGGCTGCCCTGATTTCTTTCGACCGACCTCTACTTTGCACGGGCGGGGACGAGGGACCTCGTTGCTGCCTCGCTTCTGAGGCACCTATCCGGGGTCTCTGAAGTGGTACGCGCAGTTGAACTTCCAAAGTGCAGATGGCGTGGTGCAAGCCAGCAAGATGGAAGGCGGCTCGCCTCGCTTCATTTTTCCGACCCGCAGCGCAGGAACCGCCTCGGCGGGTGGGTGCGGCTGAAGCCACCGACCGTGTGGGGCTGGGTCAAAGGACCCAACCCACAGTCGTCTGGAAAGACTTCACATTCATCTTGCCAAACCCTGCACCTGCCAAAGATGGATATCCGGACCCCCGCCACCCCGAAAGAGTTCCAAAAGGATGTTTGGGCAAATCCCGTGGTCATTTGTGACCCTGAACTGCATAAAGGGTACGTACACCTTTTTGTTTCCTTCAGGGATTCACCCACGGTCGCCCTGTCACAAAGTGAGTGTTCGAATGAGGAGTGGTGTATTAACCTGGAACCTGAACACCAACGGTTTGTGGAGGGAGCTAGTCTTCCAAAGATCCATTTTCAGGATCCATGTTAATCTTCCCGGATGTAACTGTTTTGTTGCACTCTCGCCTTGGGGATGTGAACGGCCCAAATTGATCGAACACGTGAGTTTGCAGGAAGGAGCATAATATATCAATATATATCAATATATTATACTAAAAACTACACACACACACACGTTACATCAGAATCATACAATTGACATCGAATGACATTGAAACATCCATCAAATGACAGGTGTCCTCCCGATCCAACCCATTTGGTCCCCATCCAGTCACCGCGCCAGGCACGCCGATCTGTGGCACCGCCCTCCGCTGCAGTGCCATCGACCCCACCAGCATGGCGGCCCATGAGGCTCACCTCTTCCGAGACCTAGAGGAGGACGTAGTCAAAGAAGCGAACCCTTTTTCGGGGGTTCAAGAGTGAAGGCCAGATCCATACAGTTTGGGTTCAAGGAGGTATTCTTGCATAGTCCTGTAGTTCTTTTTTGTTCGTGGGACCCAGTTTGGAGATTCCTTCCTCATCCATCAAGTGTGTTGATTCGTCCTCTTTTTGTACAGTATATATAACTTTGGATGAGCCCAGGGTTTGTGTATGTTTGTGTTGATTTGATCTGTATTGGTCCCCATGAGAAACATAGACAGAGATTCCCCTATACAGGCACATCAATAGGCACATCAACAGACTGTTTGAAACAGATGTAAAGAAACACTATGTTTGACGACTGGATCAATTTACTGAAGACAGTGTGGACACTGCCTTGCGCGAGGTTTTAGCCCGTGAGCAGGCCAAAGAGGAAGCGGCGACCAAGGCAGCAGGGGTATCAGAGGGAGACGATGGGATGGAGGTCGCAAAAGGGTCGCGGACCAGTCGCGGATCAAATCGTGAAGCCCTCTGAACAGCCTGCAGCCTTTTTTAGGTACCGAGTCTGAGAGCAGCCGACTGATGGGGACTGATGGCCCAGGGCCTCAGTTCTTAGTGTAGTCAGAGGTCGGTGTCCGAGTCCTGTGCGCTGACGAGAGACATTCCCTTTACTTCATTGACTTCATGTGTTGGAAGTACTTCATAGCAGCTTGGCACACACACACCATCTCATGGTGGATATCTGAGGCATTTTGATGCATTTTCATGATTGTAAGTTTGAGAATGAGTACCCCACTCCCCACCGCAGGCACAGGAGGAGACTGATGCTGCCAGGCAACGGGGGATTGAGTCTGCCTGTGCCAACAGCACCTGCATTGGTCCGTTCACGCCTGGACATGTTCAGACGTAACATGATCAGCACATTCTCCCCAAAAGCAAGGGAAGGAAGCTACTAGTAACAGGTGCCACGCTAGTAGTAACAAGTGCCTTACTGGTAGTAACAAGAAGCTACTAGGAACAAGTGCCTTACTACTAGTAACAATAAGAATTTCAACATAGAAACATAATATAGAAACAACCAGAAGAGGCTGCTTTCCTGTGCAAAAAGCAGACGTCACCCTTCCTAACTGGCTTGGGCAGTATCCATGGTGGTTTCCCAGAGGGTACATACCATCTCCAACTGATATATATATATAACATTATATATATATATATCTATATAACGTTTGGAACACTCAAAGCGCCCCCCATCTCATCTGATGGGTTCATCCACCTCGTCATGAATTTGGACCCGACACCCGCTGCAGTTGACCCCATGGACCGCCCGTCCATGCTCCCTCAGGCAAGAGTGGCACAAGAAACTGAGGGAGCATGCTGAGGTCAGCTCGTGTCGGCTGCAACACTTGGTGGTGATGAGGTGGTGATGGTGGGGTGTGCGCTGTGTGCCCTTGCTGTTCTCCATTCTTGCAACCAATGGTGCAGTGCTTCATGCGGTGGGCACTGCGTGCACTCTTCTGACAGAATCCCACACACACTACCTTCAAATCAGGACGCTTTCTGATTTTTTTAAAAACATGTTTGTTTGTTGCGCAGCGGTGCCCAACCACGAGTCGTGTTACCCGCCAGCATCCCAAGTGCCTGGCGTCACGTACGGCGTCAACGTGCGGGCAGGCTCGGAAGCTGCGTACGGTGCACATCGACGGCTTGCCGAGCAACACCACGCTGCAGGAGACCGGGCGACGCAAAAAGAGAGACAGCAGGGACCCGCATCTTCGGTGGTCGTGTCTCTGAACACGCGTGTTTCTGTCTTTCCGAAATGCTTCGGGATGATTATCATGCGGAGTGACCTCTGGCATCCTCGCATGCCAGATTCGTTCACAGTAGAGTGGCTTGGGAGCTGCTAGCTGGCAATGTCCAGCTCAGAAAAATGGTTTTTCCACACCCGAAAGGATTGGGGTCCTAAACTTTGATGTGCACAACCCTTTTTATCGTGACACCTGCTGCTGCACCTCATCATCACCCAATGGAATGATAGACACAAAAAGAGACAACAAACCATGACACTGACAACAGACAATGACTACCACACATAAGCACAGACAACACGACAACACACTAGAAGCAATCACACATGCAAAACATAATTGCAACACCAAAAGCAGACAAGAAGCAATGACACATACAATACACAATGACAAGACCAAACACAGCTTCCCGCCAGTGGCCCGACCCAGTGGTCCAGTGGCACGACGACCAACAAGACAGCAGACAACAGACAACGACATGCACAACGACAACACAGTTGACCTTGATACAACACGACAACGCACAACAGACAATGATAATGCATAATGGCAACACCAAACACAGCCACAACCACAGCCCTCATAATCCTCATACTACGTGACAACACCCCAAAAGAAGCACGAGAGCAGACGACAGAGGTTGACACATGATTGTATCTACACCACCGCATAGACCTTCATATTGGGACAAGCCTGGGTTGGGGATAGCTCGAAGTGAAACGATTCGGATATATTTATGTGTGAGATTGGGGAAGCGAACCGAACGAAAGACCTCCTGTTTGCGCTAGGCCGAACGACGTCTCGTGCGTCAGGACCTCCAACGCTTGGGGGAGCAGTTCGGGACAGTGGAGCAGCTCCTTGGGTTGATTTGGTGCTCTTCGGGTGGGAGTGAAGAGCATTCCGCCGCAAAACGACGACGTTTGTGGTTGGGTGAACGGCGGGGTGAACCGAAGCAGGTTCCTTTTTTTTCCGTTCGGTTTGTCCGACACCTTTGGTTGAGTCGTTCCAGCAAGGCCATGGCTGATCTCATTCATGGCTACACGTGCGGGTTTGTTCATGGCTGGGCTGCGGAGAGATGTCCACTGGCTGTTTGTTTGTGAGTGCTTTCGGAGATGGGCGGTTGACGCAGACGCGTTTCACGTGCACCGGAAAGACTTCTTTGATTCCGATTTTTGGCTGTGAGTCAACTGAGAAGGGAACAGCACTTCCACCACACACTTGAACTCGCCTAATTAAACCCTGTCTTTGTGTGGCCATCTTTTGGAGTGCAAAAACACCTTTTTTGAGTATATAAATGCAATTTCCCTTCATTTCCCTTCCAAGCGGCCCTTGACCACAAAAGAAAGTGAACCCTGCAAAAACCCATTATTTTTTGAGGCTTGCGCTCAGAGGTGCATTTGACAGTTTTAACCAGATGTAACGCATTGTGGGAAGGGTGTCTTGGTGCATGTCATGGGCTGTGCAGCCAGTGCCACCACGACCGGGAGCTTTTCAAGAGCGATTCCCTCTGATGAAGCTCCATGCATCTCAAGGATTGGCAGTCCGGGCCAGTCTAGACCCGAGACGGAGGGTCCTTCCCTTCGTGGAGAGCAAGAAGCAGAGAGCCATCGCCGAGCACTTCAGTCTTTGAAGATTGCTTTGCGAATTTCAAGAGAGGACCAGGTAGATTTTGATGACTCCGAACTTGACCTCTACAAGCCGCCACGGCAACCAGCTCCCCGCAACCAGTTTTTGCCACCTGGACGTCCTGAACATGTTGCCAACACACGGAGGGTGGCACGATTCTGTCATGCAGCCGCAAGGCATCCCAATTTCTTCGGACAGATTGTTGGCAGAGGCTTGGCAGAAGAGGAATGATGTGGTGCTACCGGGGCATCTAGTTCTTGTGGGCACAAGCTTTTCTGCAGCCAAAGGCTCTCACCACATTTCACTGTTTTACTGAGCCGCCAATGCGTAGTTCATGTAGCGCTTAGGGCGGTTGCGGCTGGGTGCTTGCCAGCAGGCAGTGCCGAGCATTCATTTTTGATAATCTTGATTCATTTTTGAATATTTTTGAACTTTATATTTGTCTAGTTGTCCTGGAAGGTCCAGCATGTTATGCGAGGTCCATGTTTAAAACATTTGCTAGTATTCGCAGAGATATCAATGGTGTTTCCAGCGGGTCCAGTGATGGACGCTCGGTCTTCACTTTCCTACCATCCTCTCGCGCCAGCGCGCCGTGTCGGGCCGTGGCGACGCGCTCAGGCTGCGCCTCGACCGGGATGCCAAAGGTGCGACCTCCAAGGGCGAAAGGACGGAGGTGTGTGGGATGATTCGTGAATGAGATTTGGGGATGTGAATATCATTATATATATATATACATATATATATATATCATCCAACATTGAAGCATTGCCAGACATATCTTTAGCATTTCTTCGAAGGAGAGGCTGTGACAGTTGACTGTTTGTTAGCCTTTGTCCATGTTGACAGAGGAATGGCCAACATTTTGTAACATTTTGTCTCTACAGTCTCCACATTGACAAGAAAGCCAAGACCTACAGGATTACAAGCACCCCCACAAATACCGCACTTTTGAGGACGCTTACACCACTCATCTCGTGTACGCGTAGGACGTCCTTCGCAAACACACACGAGGTGCAGCCTTCGGCCTGGTGCAATTCAAGGAGCTGGGCATCGCTCGCGGCTGCTGCCGGGGGTCTTGAAGGGTGAGCTGCACTGACTCCCATGCGCCCGTGACGGAGACTCATGTGACTCATGCCCAGCCGGAGCGTCTTTTTCGCTTGTGATTCACAAAAGTGAACTTCCGTCACCTCCCAAGAACTTTTCACTCCTGAAAGGCAACCTGGTGTGTGCCACGAAGGGAGGGGAAGAAACCTCTGGCTCACATGGGGGTTTGGATGGGCTTGGGATTGATCGGCATCTCCAAATGGCGCTTGTCAGCGGGTGAGGCCTTCGGCGGACCTTCTTGGTGGACGACCATGTGGTGGTCTTCTCTGAGTCCAAGTCGGAGGCAGAAGGAAAAAACAATATGCATACATATATAACTCTATTTGAGGTATATATACATCTTCAAAGAGAAGAAAACGGAAGGTGTTTGGGCCCCCTGAACAACCCTTTAAGGGGGCATTTGACTTTTCTCTGACATCAAAATTGATGAAACCCAACATGTGGTGATGAAGATCTGTAATGTACATGAAGGTGTTTGTGCATCATGCCCATTGTTAGTTGGCTATACAGTACTCATGTGCAGTTTATAATTGCGATATTACACAGAGTATTTGAAGCAGAGTCTACCGTGACGCTCTCGTCGTAAAGGGATCGTATGAGATGTTGGATTGCTTGCTTGTGGTAGCAGCAACGATTGCAGCTAAGTTTCGATCGCAGCTACGATCACCTGTGGGCAACTCAATTTTCGGACCAACCAGGGACTCAAATCACGATCAAACAAGCCTAGTCCGAAGGTCCTGGAAATGACGATCCGAGATTATGACCCGTCGACGTCGGAGATGAAGAGCATGGTTTCACGGTGCACCAACGGCTGGACAGCTCCTTCTGGAGGTCAGAACCGGCTTCCGAAAGATTTCCCTTCAGGAGCATCCCCTGGACTCGAGTCCTCAGACCAGTCTGACATCCTGCTCCGCTCCGCTCCGCCGTGCTCCGTACCCCGAGGTGAACTCCATGGACATCGAAGAGGCCACGGTGGAGTTCCGGCACCCCTGCATCGACCGGGCGCTGGCCAGCAGCGCCGGTGGAGAGCAGAGCGCACAGGCGAGGAGAGAAACGAAGGTGGAGATAACTGTTGGAGATGACTGGTGGAGCATGAGCAAACAACGTGTTTTCTTGGGTTCCAAATCCTCGGTGGGGGAACTCGTGGACGATTCTTCTCCTGTTTTGGAGGTGGCGGGTCTTAAGAGCCAGATTCGTGTTGAGTTATTGCCAAGTTATTGCTGTCAGTTTTCAGGTATACACTTCACTGAATTGCCACTCCGAAGCCACCGGTGATGTCCCAGCTCAGGGGAAATTCTGGGAAGAGCTTGCAGAGAAGCGACGCCAGCTCTACAACACCAAGCTGGAGATGGTCCGACAGAACGCAGAGGAAATCCTGGGACCAGGCAGGCTTGGGAGCTGCTCGAATGGCCCAGTAAGTGAGATGACCTCAAAGCACCAACACAGCAGAACTCTATTGGAAGTTCCTATCCCATTCATGTTGCGTTCGGACTTCATCCCTCCCATCCAGTTTGCCCTCCTGTCCGCTCAGTCAGCCTGTCCACCTCACCGAGGCATAGCAGCTTCACCACCTCCATCGCCGCCCGAGGAGGACGACTTCTACGCGTGGGCGAAGCAGGCGGCCGCCTTTGCCGAGGACGTGCTGGGCGCGGTGCACGGCGAAGACGAGAAGCCCGAGGAGCGAGAAGAGGAACCAGAGGAGAAAGGCGAAACCCGGGGGGGTGATGATATGTGATGATGGGTTTCACAGAGAGGCTTTGAAGAGGCTCTATAGCCGAACAGCGTCATTTGGTCGGTTCGATGCGGCCTTGGAATTCATCACCCACTAATAAAATCGTATACATACATTTTGAAGGAACGCAATTCAGGAGTCGAAACGTAGTGGGAACCAAGCATCAAAGCCAACACGTTGTTGACCACTAACCAGTGGGAAGCTCTGAAACTGCCAGTACGGACTGGCAAGTCCACACCCCAGTGCTACAGGTTTGCCACCGAACCTCCCTTTGCACGACATCCGAACGCCCGACATCCACGCGGTGGTCGCTGAAGCACGACATCCGCGTGCAGGTCCTGTGGACTTGGAGGAGCATCCTGACATCGTTCCAGGAGACTTGGCCGAAGGTAACCACTTAGACTGGATGAGATGGGTTTCACATGACGTAGTGTTTGTGTATGGAATGATAGATTAAATTTAGATTATGTAGTATATAGTGTAAGTCCTCCCCAGATGTTTGGCATTTGTGTGATGCCATTTCGCGCAGCCTCAAAGGTCGCGGTCCGCCCGGGCCACCACGTTCTGACCCGAACCCCTTTCAGCCTGTCGGCATCCAGCGGCCTGTCCGCCCGAGGCACCGAGCTGGCCGTTCTCAACGACTCCTCGGAGGAGCGAGGGATCCAGTGAGATGGTGCGGCCAGGGCGGCCAGGGACATCTTCTTTGGATCAACCGTAGATCAGATTCGATCCATGCGGACATAGGGATCCATGTGATTCCTAACTGAGAATCAACAAATGGATGGATTGAAGTGGTCTGGATATATGGTCTGGATTTGGGACAGTTTCACCACAATCTAAGCGCTAAGACAACACAGACAAAGAACAGTCAAACACTGTCACAACTAAACCACCACAACCTAGACGACAAGCAAAAATAGCAGCCATGACAATAGAAACGCAGCACAAATACGACCACGACCACACCGAAATCGCCACCGGCTACCACATCATCCCCTACCTGGTTCGGCTTCCTACACTGCACGAGTCAGCCTCCGAGCTCCCAGCTTCCTCCTTTCAGCCATTGCTACTTGGTTGGAGGCCATCGCTACTAGGAACAAGAAGCTACTTGGGGCTCCTGGCCTTACCACTAGGAGCGATCGGACGCTACTAGCGGCTCGTGGCATGGCTACTAGTAACCAGAAGCTACAGTAATGTGGTGAAATGCCCTTTCAGGAGGAGATCTCGGAGGACGACGAGGGCGACGCCGTGGACGTCATCGGCGGCGCCTTCGCCGACGGCCCCCGAGCCCGGCGGCAGCGGCGGGCCGCGCTGCGAGCACAGCGAGCGCCACGCAGGCGGAGCCGGGGCGGAGCGCCCTTTTGGGGGGTTGAGGAACGTGAGAAGAACATAGGACAATGACTAATATGCTTGGCTTAAGGACCACAGGGAACAGTTGGTGGACTTGTCCTTCTTTCGGAACTGTATCCTTTGGGTTGCCTGCAGACCAGTCAGCAAAACAGGCAGGTGAAACGCAGTTGTTGACCTACAGGAGCCAGGAACTTCCCAAAAGCATCTCTGGTGCCTTCTCAGAGCCCACCCCAAAGCATCCCCAAATCATGCATCTTGAGTTGTAGGACTTTCCACATCCAACCTGTCACCCGACAACACCACCGCGCTATGGACCTGCTCCTAGGCCCAAACCGCCGGCGGCCCCGCCGCCGACTCCTGCGCAGTGGGCCGCCCAGCGGCAATCGGCGCTGGAGCGGCTGCAGGCCTCGCCCGCGCAGTGGGCCGCAGCACGGCAGCGGGCTTTGGTGCCTCGGTGTGAAGTCGAACAGGGACCTCCTTCCTGCGATGAACGTCCCAGGGACCCAGTGGTGGTGCAGGTACTGTGACTGGAACAGCAATTCACCGAAATTTCGTTCTTGTCATTCTTCTTCAATCTTCCTGTGATGCAGGAGCCAGATTTGGACAAGATTCAGGTAGCTTCCTTTGAGATAACACTAATTACCTCCCAAATCCTGCCAAGTGGTCATGAGTCATGTATATCATGCATAAACCAGACCGTATAAGAACGGTTGAGTTCCTGAGCAAGAACTGCTGTTCACAATTGGAAATGCTTGGCACTGGATTGTTGTACATGGCTCTGGGCCTTGCAGCCTTGTAGAGAATGGTTGGCATGCTAGAGTCTAGAGGGGAAGCACCAATACTCTTGCTTTATGTAGGTCTTGAATTTGGGTACATCTCGGAAGGGCATCCATGCCGCGCGCAACCTCGACTGGTCTCACCGGTGGCTGTTCGATCCCAGTTCGCATGGTGGGTGTCAAGGATCGCCTCAAAGCCAAGCGTTCGTCCACGGCTGTGCTGGTGCGACCTGGACCAGGACAGGCATGATATCGCTGATCTACACTGGGGAAAAGATAGAAAAAGGAACGGTCACTATTCGGTTGGAGGCCATCTGTTATTACTGTAGGTTCTTTTCTGGGTCCAGTTTCCGTTCGCGAACGACAGGAACGACCAGGTGAATGTCAGAGAGTGGTGACCACCTTTGTGGGGTCTCTCCTGGGAGATGTCTAGGGACCAAGATCAAGGGACTCAGCGAAGGGTTGAGAAGGTTTCACTAAGACATTTCACTAAGACCAGACAGTGCCTTACATAGATAACCCGATTCCGCGCATGAATGAGAGAAGGTTAGGTACTAAAGGAACCCATTTCCTTTAGTTGTGTATCCATGGTCCACCCGTCACCTGTGCAGGTGGTCGGTGGTCCGGCCATTCTACCCGTCACCGGTCGTTCGAAACGTCACGACAGGACGAGGAAGACAAAACGCCGTGGAGCTGCTCGAGGAGATCCAGGCGGGGACTCAGCATGGGGTTGATGGTTGATAGGGGGCCCGTGGTTGATGGTTGGGTTGGTTGGTTTGGGTTGGTTTTGGATGGAGGTTTCTGCTTTCTTCGGTTTCGCAGATCATGCTGCTTGGGTTTCTCATCCCAGATGTCACCAAAGAGCATTTCAGCATGGTTTTAATCAACCTCTCCTTGACGGGATCAATCATTGCAAAACAAAGGTGACCACACCTTAATTCTTTTTCTCTATGGATTTTGGGCTACAGCCTACAGCATTGATATTACGAAAGCCAGCCGATAGGCTAGGCTTGAGCTTTTAGAGCGAACGAAGTGAGTTCAGGGGGTGTGGGGGGGGGGGGGGCACATTTTGAGAGGGTGAACCCGGCTTGGTGGGGGAGAGCGCTCCAAAGCGAGGGTCAGAAACGCAGTGAAAATGGCGTCTGGTGATGCGAGCGATGCAATGGACGCCGAGTAGTGCATCATTAGCATCATGAAGGGCTTTGGATGCTATTTGGACAATGGGCATTGAGCACTCGAGTGGAGACAGCGACAGAAGTACAGAGCAGACCGCAGCCGCATGTAGGATACGAGTTCCCAGGACAACCCGTAACTTGCGAAGTCCATAGAGAGCCGAAAGTGACATGAGTTCAACTCCATGAATTTGAATTGAATTTCGGCGGGGGTGCCTGCGAGGTTGACTACATATCCGCATAGGGTTAGTGCCCCCTAGCAAAAACTGTACTTGCACCATGTCCTCGGTCGAGTGGATGCTTCTCGCGGCGTCCACACGCACCGAACGTTTTTCCGGCTTGCCGGTGCAGATAGATAGATAGATAGATAAATTCTATATACTACTGACTCATGACGTCCCCTTTTTGCTGGCAGCCCTGGCTGAATCCAGTCAGCCTGGGTCCACGGCCCAAAGATCTACACACGCAGGTGCCAAAGTCAAGGCCTCTGAGTGAGAAAGGCGCAGGGTTGATAAGAAAGAGAAGAATAAAGAAGGTGTTTGGATCGTTTAATGAAGGCCCCTTTAAAGGAAAGAGACCGTGTTTTGGATTGAGCCAGAACATGACTCACTCAAGTCCAGGCATGTGCATCGATAGGCGCACAAATCCTCACTCCTTGCTAGCCCAAGCTACTCCTGCTGGACCTCCCCTTCTGCGCCGTGGGATCAAACGTCCGTGTCCAGGCTAAGACGTGCCCGCTCACTCTTCCAAATCAACGAAGGCTTGTCGACGTGCCGCAGTGTGCATTGCAAACTTCAAACACTCCAAATGTAACAAACACAGAATTGTTACTTTTCAAACGCATGCCGTACTCGCGCGCGCACGGCGACTCTCACTATGGAGAAGGTCTTCCTGCGCGCGCGTGGTATCCCACCACCCGAACCCAGACGGTATTTCCCTTTCGCGAACGCTGATGTCGCCTTCCAACTTCCATAAGATGCATGCCTTCCTGCGTGTGACAAACACATGCCATTGCCTTGTAAGTGATGATGACCTACACCAACTTACAACGTGTCGCATTTCTTTTTCACTACTTACTTCTTTCATAATTACCAAAGTTATCCCACACATTACATACGCCCCCCCCGCATCCGCGGCACCGCTGACTCGCAAGCGGCCGACCATGTTTCTTGCGCCGCGACGCCCGCCAGAAAAAGAGACACTCGTCTGGCGGCTGCTGGCTTTCGCCCCCCCTTCTGAGGTATATATATATATATTTGGTATGTTTAGGTCTTTAACATGCCCAAAACATCCCAAAACAAGTTGGTCATATATAACTCATAGCCATGGAAAGGAACGCTTCCATCCATCCCATGAAATACATCGTTGGTCCCCCCGCAAATCTTCCGCCGCCACTGGAAAAAACCGTGGGGTGAACACTGTTTCACACCTTTTTGGATTCCTTTTATATAGTGATGTGATGATAGATCCATCTCTCTGATTGATTTTATTTCATGATATCACCAAATGTGTGTGTGTATGTTATATATCTTAGCTTTAGTGTGATCTTATTTCACACCTATGGATAGATCATGATAGGATCCGTCTCTCTGCTTTTGTCCTGGATCCTGCGAGCCCCTCCCGGGCCGTGTGCTTCGCCTGGCGCGACACACTCGGCACAAGTCCATCAGGTAGACCTGGACGGTGAGCTTGCTCCTGAGGACTTGACGGAGCCCAAACGGGCCAGACGCGCAAAAGGGGAGGACCAGATGGGAGCAGCTGGAGGTGGATTGGATGGGAGGACCAGAAGAGACGATCCGGATTGCTACGACGGTATGAAATAGTATGAATGCATGTTGAGGAACTTGGAAATAGCTGCTCACCCCTCTTTCAAGGAGCCTCTTTGCTCAGTCAAGTCTTCTTATCACCTTGTTGTGTGCATCCCTTGCCATGACAGCGCTGAACATCGCGCGCGCGCCAAGGATCTGCATCCTTCGGACAGTCCGAGCGCCAAGAGTAAGGTCCGCAGAAACCAAGGTTGGAAGACACCTGAAAAAGGGGACGTTCCTTTGAGATGCCCAGGGGTTCCTTGTTAGTGGATGAATGTTTAGTTCCGAATCGAATCGAGGTGAAGCAACTGTAGACCTTTAGCTTCCCACCCAAGCTGAGGAGGAGAGTTGAACTTGAAGTACTGGACTAGGCTCCAATTTTAGGCGTGTTCCTCGACTGACTGCTGGAGAGATAGGCCAAGTTTGCAAAAGTGGGAGTACTTTTCCATCAAACATGGGTGACAAGCACCTGGTCACGACAAGGGGTACTCCGGTATGCCCCTGGCGAGCGCTGTAACGGCAAGACGTGACCGGGTCTGACATCTGTAATCTATGTGGTCATATTTCGATGATGTCCGGATTTCCGGAGTTTCATGTAGTGCTTCTATCTATACACTGCTATATACTTGATATATAGCAGAATCTGTTTCAAAAAATAGCCGCTCTGCAGGTTCAACGGACTGGTGCACTTTACGCTTTGTGGTCGCATCAAAAGCTGGCGGCGGCTGCAGGCTGTGAAATCATAGTGAGAATATCCAGTGCAATACATAGTAGAAATCATCCGGGGCCTTCCAAGGCCAAACTTTCTACAGCCGCAAGGAAAAACCAGCTGCTTTGTCTTTAAAACCCTTTTCTAGCAAAGGAAGGAAGTTAGTTAAGCCAGCAGTTCTGTCCCAGCATTTGCCTCATCAGTTGGTCGCTTCCAGATACATGTTGTTTACAGTTGTTCCATCGGTTTTAGGGGAGGCCACGGTTCCACGCCAGTGCCGGTCGTCTGAGCCAACTCGAGCCGTGTCAGGCGTGGCAAGTGAGATCATCAAGGTGATCTCAGAGGGGAAGAACGCGAGAGAGGAATACGCAAAGCATTGAGTAACAAGAAGCCACTGGGTGGAGGCCATCGCTATTAGGTTGGAGGCCATCGCTACTAGAAACAAGAAGCTACTAGTAACAAGGGGGGGGCTGTGTGGGGACTGGGCTGAACGGAGCTGAACGGACTGCGCAACACGGGCTGCATTTCCTGAAAACCAGCGTGTCTCGTAGCAAACGGTCTCATGAAAACAATGATAATGTATGTATCTGTATATAGAGTTGCAGCGTGACAGGCTGACCTGGACATTTCAGAAATTGCAATGGCATCCAGCTTGATTGAAGCAACGAGTGAGTCAGCCTGAGGAGTGCAAGTCCCTGCTAAGCACAGAGGAAGCCGCAGCCACTTGGCACATCAACTCTCCCTTGAAAAGCCTTTCCCAAAGCGAAGGATGAAGAAACCTGACAAAACAAATCCAAGCACCAGCACGGCCGCCTTGACAGACTCGAGGCTTTGGCCCTTTGCGATGAGCTCTTGCAGCCGGGCATGGTGGTCAGTGAGGCGGGACTTGTCTTTGGCATTGAGACCAAATGGTGGAGGAGTTCTTCCTTCAAGAGCAAAAGGTCACAAGAGACCTAACCCCACGCAAACCGGAAACACTTTTGTTGGAACCGTTTATGCTTTCCACACTGAGTAGATGGCACCAAGGTGGCGAACAACATCTGCAAATAGCAGAAGTACTAGGACACAGAGCCCCCCAAACACAACAACTACTGCACTTCTCCGTATCCCAGGTGGCGCCGGGCTTCTTCTTCCAACAGCATTGTTCATCCTTGTTCCACTTTTAGGTTCTTACTACCCTGTGCTTAAGGCCACCTATTCGGCGGCGCTTGCAGTACTTGGTGAGCGACGCGGCTTCGAGGTAGGGGGTTTGGGCGGCGATTCTGCTGGGGTTCCCTGCTGCTTCAGGATGTTTGCAGTGCGGTCTTTTGGAAAACAAAGGGGCCTTCAGTGGTTGCCACCCGACTTTTCCTTCCGGATCCGCTTTGTCGCACAGCATGTCTGTCTTTGTTCTGTTTGGTTTGTAGTTTGTACGTTAAAACGTCCTTGGAGAGCGGACGCTGGAACTGTTGCTGCCCAATACGTGGGCGATGCTTGTGTTCGGCTCCAAAGCTGAAGCATGCCTGATATTCTCGACTTGCAGGTCATCCAAGTAGTGTGCTGGCTAACAGACCGAAAACTATCAGAGAATGCAGGCTTCTGATCCTGCCGGAGAGTGACTTTGGATGACTTGAGTCTCCCAAGACTGGGCTGTGACATGAAACGTTGGATCCACTTCCGGTTGGGCGTCTCTGCCCAATTGCAGGTCCAGATGACACGGACGTGCACGGAATCAGTTAGACCGACCAGAAAACAGCGGCCATGGGAAGTAATCATGGTGTCCAATCCCTTTTTTTGGGCAATGACAGCTGTGGCTGTCTGTCATCCCTTTGTTCCATCGATTTGACAGCGTAGGCATGCACGGACTGGAATGCATCGGATTGCGTAGACCCGTCGTGCCAATGCCCCCTTCCGCTGGTGCCACGTCGATCTACGGGCGGTCCAACTCCTTGCGGCAAGTCGCTGGGTCATAGCGTTCAGCCTCGCCTGGGTTTTTGTGGGTCCCAAGCGGTGTATGATGATCATCTATGAGTCATTTTGGATGATCATGGATTGCGGGCTATAGTCACTACAGGTTTCTGTTTTTTGCCGACACACGAAGACGCGCAGTGATGTACAGTACTGGGTTGTGAGATGTTTTGTTTTTTTCATTCATCCGTATTTTGGGATGGTTGTACCAATTGACTAGGTTTTTAGACACGGTTTCAACTTCAACCATAAAATAGTACATACCTGATTGGTTCAGGGATGCTGTTTTGAACTGAGGAAATAGACAAGAAAGTGAAGAATATGTTTCTGTGAATTGGGAATTAATGGATCCACTTCGGTTGGAAGGGATACTGGACTTGTTGCTCGAACATGCTCAAACTATATACATTAGAATCGATCCAGTGAGTGCAATTGGGTGCAATTGGTATTGCTACCGAACTGCAATTCTTCTTCTTCTTCTTCTTCTTCTTCTTGTGCCAAATATCAAAGGTTTCGGTTTCTTGAGGCTAAAAATTCATACACCGCCCAGGGCTGGCATGGGGGTTCACAGGGGGTACCCTTTCTGTAGCTGGAGTGAGAGACTGATTTACCTTGACCTCGCAGGTGTCGGTGACTGCGGGCTTCTACCTCCTCTTAAGTGAGGAACACAGGTCTGTTGGAGCACGGTCCGTTCATGGGTTGTTCACGAAGAGAAGCGCAGCGTCTCCCACCGCACGAGTCCTTCAGGAGTAGTTGCAACGATCAAACGACTAAGACTTCGTTTCATGACGCAAGACTTGCGCAATAACAAAGACTTGGGCAAGAACGCGGCCAAAAACACAGAGTTCGATTGTTACAAGTGATTCGTGGCGCCGTGATTTGTGGCTCCAGCGCCGCATTTCTTGTGGTGCACGCGGCTGCGGATGGCCCCGGATGCGTTGGCTGCTGCTGGGCTTAGTCCCTGAGCAAAACTGGAAGGTTGATGAGGGTTGGGCATATCTAGTGACTCCAAACTATGCAAAAGCACCCCCCCAAATCACCAACTTCCCTCCACATTAGACGAATGAGTGTGAGCATCATGTGGCCTCTTTCAAGTCGATGTTCCACCACAGCCACCGGAGCGGGCACGGTTCGCCCGTCCTTGGGGGGGGCGACCAAGAGGTCGGTCGGTCACCCCTTAAGAGGTCGGTTGGTCTGCCGAACGAGGTCCCAAGCATTGGCCGATGCGAAGTGAGCGTGGGCCTGAGCATCCGTCGAACTGGGTGGGCCGAAACATGAGCGAAGCGAACGACGTGCCGTGCACTTCTCATTTCCTTTTCTGCAGCAGTTTCTCATTGTGTTGGTTATGCATGCATGCCTGCTCATCACTTAGCAGAGCAAGCCGTGCTCTCACATTATCATCCAATCTGGTATTTGGTGAGGACTCTCTGCCTTCTCAACCCTTTCGTTTGTTCATGATCCATTCCTTCGTGAAAAGGCGAGTCCACATGCCTTTGCCTGCCCCTTTCACCTCTGCCTTTCTGGAGGTGCCTGAGTGCTGAGGTACATGCGGCCGTCTTGATGACCTTACCACACCTTCCACCGATGCCCCCATTCAGGGGGGGGCACATGCTGATGCAGTTGAGCTCCGGTCGCTGCTCGGCATGAGCTTGGCAGCGAACATCCAGGGGGTGATGAAACCAACAACATTCAAAACCGGTTGGAATCAGAGCGGGCTGTGCTTCTCGAGAGCTTTTTTTTTTCCGAGCGAAGAGAAGGTGAATTGAGATGACTTCGTCGGAATTGGTGCCCAAAGAGACACGGGCTATCACGCTAGTTGACGTGTGTTGGGCAGATGACATGGTGGCTAGCCCAAACACCTTACTCGTCAGGTCTTCCTCAGATCAGCAGGATCAGCAGTGTCCTGTTTCTAGTGTGGATCGGGCCAACCTAGGTGTTCTCCGGCCATTCAGGCGCCCTTAGGTGGCTTATAAATAGAAGACTGAGCGGGTGTGCTAGGCGCGTTGTACGAACGAACATGCGCCAACTGGTGAACCGAGGGCGTCGCTCCGATGCTCCGAGAGACCTCACTGAGGAGAGCCCAGCTGGACCTCTCCGTTGGAGGCCGCGAGGAGCGCGTGACGCGGTGAGGCCTTGGACATGGCCGACGTGATCGTTTTTTCCCCAAACATGTTGCTGTTTCCCATCTATGCGGGGTATTACCCGCTTGAAAGAGGAGGCGCTTGAAAGAGGACGCGCTCACCAGATCCTTTTTGGTCACTTTGGAGCATGGGTGTAACAAGTGCATCGCTACCAGTAACAAGGTACATTACTACTGGCTTCTTCTAGGTGTCAAGGCCCGATGCTGTTTTGACCACGAGTGCTTGCTGTGCAACTTCCCAAGCGGAACCCTCTTATAGAGGTTGTTTGTTTCCCCAATGAGGATCTTCGTTTGCTCACTTCGTTCTATGCCTGCGGTCAGGCATTAGGGCCTGGGATCGGGCGGAGAACAAATAAAGGATTTTGCTGTTGGGGTTCTCTCTAAGGAAAAGAGAAGCTGGCCGCCTCTGGCCGCGCCCCTGAACCTGCTCCTCACATTCCAAGAGCCTTTGAACATCTCTTCAATCTTACGCGAGTCACGGGGTTTGTATATAGTTTTTGGAGCACGGGCACATACATCCTCCAAATGCGCTTCCTACTGCTCAATTGCACCGGGAGGGCTCAAATGCCTTCCTCAACTGGCAGCTCCTTTATTCTTCGCAGGGCAACCGTTCCTGGGCTAGACAGATCCGGTGGAAGCGGTCAGTGAGCGGCAACCGCAGACTTGCTTAGATCATTCAAGTCCCAACAGAGGCGATGAAGGGACTTTTGAAGGTCGATGAACACGGTCACACAGGTTGAACAGCGGTTCTTGCCCTTTGCAAGAGAGAGGGACTTATTGGTCTGTTTTGCACAAGAACCGGGGTTTTGGACTACACGGGCCCATCACCCCCCACAGCTGAGGTGAGCTGCTAAGCAGCCAAGAACTTGGTGCAGGCAGTGCCAACTGGGGACATGGTGCCAGCTATGGCTGGCTATGGGGCTGGAGTACTATTGTTTTTGGCACAGAGTCGCGTGAGATGGTCTGCGCGAAGACAAGGGCTTTGTTCAGGGAAGGAGTTGTGGAAAGAAGAAGGAGACGAAGAAAGGAAGGGGCCCTCTCATTCCTTTTCTCCATCTACCTTTTTTGTTTTGACAGTTCCTTGAACATTTCACGAAAGTTAGCCTCAGGCTGCCTGAGTTCTCTTTAGCAAAAATGCATTGCAATTGGTTCCCTGCCTATTACATTGAATTTGGAGGGTCTTGGATCAATTCGCCCCTACTGCTTATTATAATATATATAAATATACAATCATTTGATTGATAGCATCCGTTTCGGGACAATTATGCCTCACGAAAAACGACACTCCGCTCGCTTTGCTCCTTTTGCTTCTGCCGTTGCTGCTCTTCCTGCTGCTCTTGCTCTTGCTTGTTTTTGTCGCACATCCTGCTGCTCTTCGCGCTGGTCTTGCTGTTCTTTGCTGCTGCTCTTGCTGCTCTACCTGCTGCTCAACCTGCTGCTGCTGGTGCTGCTGCTGCTGGCTTTGCTGTTTGCTGCCGGCTTTAAGACTCACCTTTTTCGGGGCACCAGCTCTTGCGACCATCTCGCACACACACTTATGGATATGCGTACTGATGTGAATGCGGTGCCACACGCCGGCCTAAGTGAAAAAACCTTAGGAAACAGGGCAAGTAAAGGTAAAGTTAAATTAGAGGCCATCGCTAGAAGTTGGAGGCCATCGTCCAAGTTTGGAGGCCAAAGTACCAAGTTTACAGCGAGCATGTTTACAGCAAGCACGTTTGCAGCAAGCATCTGTGCCCACCCCAACTCTGCAGACTGGATAGGAATGCATCCAGTCGAGCAGAGCGGACGCGCCGGCCCTAAGGGCAACCGGCAAATAAACTACTAGAAGGGCACCACAAATAGGACGAGGCCATAGCGACAAGGTTGGAGGTCTGCGCAATAGGTTAGAGGGCCCACAAGACACAAGGCAGCAAAAAAAACAAAAACAAAGCAAAAAAACTGGATTGTCACTCCAAGGGTTGCACTGCAACATCGTGAAGCGCTTCAAGATTTGTGCGTGTCATTCCTTTAAACTGCAACATTGTGGTACACATCAAGATTTGTGAGTGTCATCCTTCAAACTTCAAATGAATCCCTGTGACTACAAGGGGTACACACACACGCCTCCCCTCGGCCCGAGGGGGTATTGAAGGTGCGGACAAAGTAGTAGTAAGGCCAGGAACCTCTAGTAGCGTCAAAGTAGCGTCCTAGCACCTAGTAGGAAGGCCAGGAGCCCCTAGTAGCATCCCAAGCTAAGGTCCCGACAGGAGGGAGGGGTAGGGAGAGACGAGAAAAAGGAAAGCGAAGAAAGGAAGGTGTTCCCAGCTACGACGCATGCGTCCAAGGACACACCAAAGGAAGAGAGGAGAAGGGTTCCCAGCTATGACAAAAGCATCCAGGGACACCCAAGGAGGAAGGAAGGTGAAGAGAGGAAAGAAAGAAAGAAAGAAAGAAAGAAAGAAAAGAAAAGAAAAGAAAAGAAAGAAAGAAAGAAAGAGAGAGGGAGAGAAAGGGAGAGGAGAGAAAAGGAAAAGGCAGGTGTTCCCAGCTACGAACAAGCGTCCAGGGACACACCAAAGAAAGAGAGGGGTGATCCTGAGTATTTCATTCAGGAAAACCCGAGAAAGCAAAGAAAGAAAGGGGAGGGAAGGGGGAGAAGGGGGGCTAAGTTCTCGACAGACTCCAATGAGCCTTGAACAAACTTTGGTCGCTGCGACCACGTACGGCTTGCCCGAAGGCTGCCACCTCTGACCGCCGCGGTCACGTAAAGGCATGAGCCAGCTTGGAATTCCAAAGATGAGACAAAAGTCTGAGTTCTCTCGGCCTAGGCCACCTTCGCCCGCTCTGGGCACGTACATCTCCGGGCATGGGAGATAACGACAAACCCCCGTTCGACGGGTCCACGGGAGGCACTCTACGGGCTCATCCCGGACTCTCACTAGGAGAGACACACTTATGGATATGCGTACTGATGTGAATGCGGTGCCACACGCCGGCCTAAGTGAAAAAACCTTAGGAAACAGGGCAAGTAAAGGTAAAGTTAAATTAGAGGCCATCGCTAGAAGTTGGAGGCCATCGTCCAAGTTTGGAGGCCAAAGTACCAAGTTTACAGCGAGCATGTTTACAGCAAGCACGTTTGCAGCAAGCATCTGTGCCCACCCCAACTCTGCAGATTGGATAGGAATGCATCCAGTCGAGCAGAGCGGACGCGCCGGCCCTAAGGGCAACCGGCAAATAAACTACCAGAAGGGCACCACAAATAGGACGAGGCAATAGCGACAAGGTTGGAGGTCTGCGCAATAGGTTAGAGGGCCCACAAGACACACGGCAGCAAAAAAACAAAAACAAAACCAAAAAAAAACTGGATTGTGACTCCAAAGGTTGCACTGCAACACCGTGAAACACTTCAAAATTTGTGCGTGTCATTCCTTTAAACTGCAACATTGTGGTACACATCAAGATTTGTGAGTGTCATCCTTCAAACTTCAATTGAATCCCTGTGACTACAAAGGGTACACACACAGACCATTTCACAC